ACATGGAGCTTTGGGGAGTGCCAGGAGCGGGGATTGGTTCATCCTGAGGTCCTTGGATTTTTCTTTTTTCTGTGTGTGGTGGTTTTGGTTTGAACTGGGTGGAAATACAAATTTTGTGTAGTGGTTTTGGTTTGTTAATTTGAGATTTCGTTAATTTTGAGATTTTTTTGGTTAGTGTATTAAAGAGTATGGTGGGTTTTGGTGTTGGCTGTTAGGATGAAGGTAAAGCAGGTTCAAAACTTTAAAAGGGTATAAATAAAAATGTATTAACAGTAACTAAAAGAAAGTGTAATAAGAATTAGAATAAAACTTTATGAACACTTTTTTACATGTACAACTTCTCAGTAGTTCCACAAACTCTGTGTTACACAAATTCTTTTACATCACTCCCATAAATACCTCCCATACAAAATCACCACACTGTGCTGCTTTTTAGCAAAAGAATTTTTATAAATAATCATTTAGGAAAATAATTTTATAAATAATCAGTTATAATATTCTATAATTTTTGTTATTATTTGATTATTTTATAAATAATTATCCTCCTTTTTCGAGGATTAAACATGGGTTGTTAAAGAGCATTGCAGAGCATGCAGGTAATGGAAATTTGGATTTATGGCCTGGAATCAGTGAAAGGAACACATTTAGAACCTTGGATGTTTTGTAGTGTTTAAGAACAGAACCACTGAAAGGAAAATGCAGATAGAATAAAAATATTCCTAATTTGAGACTTTATTTAATGGACTAATTAAATTTTCCCTCCCTTTAGAGAATCAGAAACTACTACAAAATATAGGAATATTTTGTATTATCTTGGATGTGAAACTCCTCTCTATTTTCTTAATCTCCTTTAAACACCACTGGGTTTTTAACATGACTTATTATTTAACATGAGTTATTTAACGTGACTTATCAGTGGAATGGATTTTTAAGTTATTTTAATACCAGGGAAGATTAGAACTAATCTGAATTTGGAATACTGTGGGTTTGGATGCTATTCCATTTGTCAGAAATCCTCATGGAATTTTCCCTGGTGGCTGCTGCTGGATTTCATGGCAGCATTTGGCATCAGTGATTTGTTACCCCTGGAACTCTCCCGAGCTCCTCCTTTGGCCTTTATGTTAAAATCAAAGGGAAAAATGATCTTAAAGTGCTTTGTCCTGGCCACATGTGTATTGCTGGGGCAAACCTGATGGGTTTAGCAGTCTGGTTTTGGGAAGAGAGGGATGTTCCCCATTTACCCAAGTTTTCTCTCCCCAGTGGCCTGCACCTTCAGCTGCACCATGAAGTTCACGGTGCGGGACTGCGACCCCAGCACGGGGGTGCCAGAGGAGGATGGCTATGAGGATGAGTATGTGGTGAGTCCAGCATCTGTTCCCTGTTCCCCATTCTCACTCCTTTGGGAGAAATGTCACCATTGGGTCAGGTTTCCTCTCAATCCTGAAGTCATTCAGTGTGCCTGAAACAGCAAAATTCTGTGAAATGTCATTTTTAGATCCTTCCCCAAAGCTTCATTGCTGTCAAAGTCTTAGTGTCTTGTGGAATGGAATTTGTGGGGGACAGAGAGGAGGGAAGGAAGAAATAACTTCCATTGTGTGTTTTCAGAGTTGTGCTGCAATATTCCACCCCAAACATTTGGATTTTTGTTAATTAATGATAGAGATACAGTCAGATTTCAGGAAGTATTGGAGGAAATAATCTCTGGGGAGAGCTGGGAATGTTCCCTGGAGCAGGGAGGGATCCAGGGAGAGCTGGGAATGTTCCCCTGGAGCAGGGAGGGATCCAGGGAGAGCTCCCAGCACATGGCAGGGACTGCAGGGGCTCCAGCAGAGCTGCAGAGGGACTGGGGACAAGGCCTGCAGGGACAGCACCCAGGGAATGGCTCCCACTGCCAGAGGGCAGCCATGGGTGGCATCTTGCCCCTGATCCCTGCAGGGCCCAAGGCCAGGCTGGAGCAGCCTGGGACAGTGGGAGGTGTCCCTGCCATGGCAGGGGTGGCACTGGATCATCCTCAAGACCCTTCCAACCCACACCATCCTGGAATTCCATGGATTCTGAGGAATTCTCTCCATGCAAGAAGCCCAGGAGGGGCTGTAAAGGCTTTGACCCAAGTGATGGCCTCATTTTCTGCTCTCCTTTAGAGAGAGAGAGAGTCTCACAGATGTTTTGTTAGAAAATTTTTAAGCATTACAGATTAATAAATAAATACTATTTACTTTTTCATATAAATGCTATTTTCCCTTTTAAAGAAATATTGCTTCCCCATAAATAACCATAAATACTATTTCCCCTCTTTTTAGAAGCTAGTATGATATGGTTCTCCTGGAATTAAAGCCAGGCATTGTCTTGGCAAAGTGCTGTGGGCTCTTTTTCCCTTTCCAAGGTGAGGATTATTTCCATAACTGAAATATTTCCCTTTTTTTTTCCCTCCCAGCTGGAAGACTTGGAGGTGACAGTGTCTGACCATCTCCAGAAGGTTCTAAAGCCCAACTTTGCAGCTGCCTGGGAGGAGGTGGGAGATGACTTTGAGAAAGAAGAAACCTTTGCCCTCAGCTCCATCAAAACCCTGGATGGTGAGATAATCCCCCATTTGTTGATCACCCAGCTGCCAGGCTGGGGTTTGATTTAGTGTGATAAATAAATAATTCCCTGGAATGCTTTTCTTCTTCCATCCCTGAATGCAGAAGCTGTCAATAACATCATCAAGTTCCTGGGCATGCAGCCCTGTGAGAGGTCAGATAAAGTGCCAGAAAACAAAAATTCTCACACCCTCTACTTGGCTGGTAAGTGTTCCTGCTGCTGAATTCCATGTTCCCGTGTCCCCATGGGTTTTTCTGATGAAGGGAAATGGTTTAGGAGACCCTGCTGATATTTGGGGAGTTTTTCCTCTGTAAAAGAGGATTTTTCTCTGAGGTGACCCAGAGTGTTGAATGCAGCTGGTCCTAACTTGGAGATCTCTGTCTTGGATGTGCTCAGGCCAAGCTCTGGGAATGGGGGAATTCCACCTGTGGGAATGGGGGAGAATCTCTGATTGGGGAGCTTCCAGAGCACACAGGATTTAACCCCTTAATGCCTGAGCTGATCTCAGAAGGGTGATTATGGGAGTGTCTTGTTCTTAAGTTCCTGTAGCTAAAGACACATCCTGAGCTGCCCTGCAGCACCCACAACTTCTCCTGAATCATGGGATGGTTTAGGTGGGAAAAACCCTCTGCAACCATTCCCAGCACTGCCAGGGCACCACTGACCCTGTCCCCAGGTGCCACAATCACAGGGCTTTAAAATCTCTCCAGGAATGGGGACCCCACCCCTGTGCCAGGGCTGCACAGCCCTTTCCATGAAGGAATTGTCCCTAAAATCCACCCTGAGCTGCCCTGGCCCATCCCTCTGCTGCTGTCCCTGTTCCCCAGCTGTGCCCTCCTGGCAGGGACTTGTGCAGAGCCACCAGGGCCCCTGAGCCTCCTCTGCTCCAGGCTCATTCCCTGCCCAGCTCCCTCAGCCCTGCTGGGGCTCCATTCCCTGCCCAGCTCCCTCAGCCCCTCCTGGTTCTCCAGACCCTTCCCAGCTCCCTCAGCCCCTCCTGGTTCCCCAGACCCTTCCCAGCTCCCTCAGCCCCTCCTGGTTCTCCAGACCCTTCCCAGCTCCCTCAGCCTCTCCAGACCCTTCCCAGCTCCATTCCCTGGACCCTCTCCAGCCTCTCCAGGTCTGTCCTGCCCAGAGCTGTCCCCAGGGTGTCCCTCAGGCTGTGCCCACACTGGGGCTGGCACAGCCCAGGTGCCATTGGCCTCTTGCCCACCTGGGGACATGCAGCCCCTGTCACCAGCACCCCAGGGCCTGTCCCAGCTCTCCAAGCTGGAGCTCTCCATGGGATGTGACCCACAGAACCCGGCTGAAGACCAAACCTGCCCTGCCCTGGCTCAGGAGTGGATCCTGAGCCTCTCCCAAGTGACCTGTCCGTGTTGCTCTGTCCCAGGTGTGTACAGAGGTGGCTGTGACGTGCTGGTCAGGTCCAGGCTGGCCCTTGGGGACGGTGTGACCATGCAGGTGACAGTCAGGAGCAAGGACGAGACGTCCGTCGATGTCATCCTGGCCTCGGTGGGCTGAGGGTCCCCCTGAGCTCCTGGGGCTGCCCCTCTGTCCTGCTGTCCTTCTGCATGGGGTTTTTATTCCTCCATTTGGGAACTCTTTTCTATGCTGTCCATTAGTGGCTGGCTGGTACTGAGCCATTCCCGTGTCCCTTCCCTCCTTGTCACACCATTCCCACCTGACTTATGGCATCTCAGCCGGGGAAGAGAAAAGATGTGAGAAAACAGAATCAGATTTTTGTCAAAATTGCTTTTTATTAACAGAAAATAAACACTGGTTCGAGTGGTGGAATTCATATGAATTACTGTTAATAAAATAGAATTTTTTTTGTTCTAATTCTGTCTGCTCCAGTACAGAAAAAATATCCCATAAGCAAAAACCCCTTATTCCTAAAGGGATGCTATTAAATTCCCAACATAAACAGTTAAAAACCACCCCACACCTCCAAATTTGCAGTATTTTTGTGACTGTCTCTTCTTCCACACAGAAAAATCGATGTACAGAGAGAGATTAAACTCCATCTCTTGAGGCAGATTCAGTTCTCTGAGCTTTATGTCAGGTAATAACCAAACCTCAGGGCAGCCTTTTCCTGGGTTCAAACTGGGAAAAATCCCACATGGAGAACTGGGAAGGGAAGGGGATGGAGGGATTTGTGAGGGAACTCCTCCTCTCCCTGCTGATGAAGAGGTTGTTCCTTCCCAAGTCAGGCTGATGAAGGAAGTAAGAAATTCTGATTTCTTGTTGATTTAAACTGTGCTGAGTTCAGCTGGGCAAGAAGGGGAGTGCAGGGCTGGAGGAGCTGTCAGAATCCTGCTTTCCCCCTCATTTTTCCAGCTCCGAGGATTTCACTCAGGTTGGCAGCCCAGGATGAGGGTGTGAGCACAGTGCTGGATTGGGGAGAGAAAATATTTTTGTTTTCCTGCCCCCAAAGCCTGACTGAGCACTGATCTGCAGCAGCTCAGAAGGAGTTGATGAAGTTCAGGTAGGCATTCAGAAATCCCAGGGGATCCTCCAGCTGGGGGTAGTGGCTGATGTGGTCATCCAGCACAGACACTGTGGACATGGGAAGCACCTTCCTGGTGGAAAAACAGAGCAAGGTTAAGCACAGGAACTGCTGCAGACTCAATTGTGCCCATTTTTGGGGTAAAAAAAGCCTGGAGCAGCTCCATCTGACCCCTTCCAAGTGCTGGATTTCCCTCAGGTCACTTTGGAGGAGATGACTTCCTCAGGAAACGAATCTTCCCCGTGTGGTTTTAAAATGGATCATGACTGAAAATCCTGATTTTGGTGCCTAAAATGCAGAACCAATTTCCAAACTGCTCTGACTGAACCACCTGGCTGTGCAGGTGCCAGTGGGAATTGGAAACAGCCTCCATGAGGATGGAATTGAGGGAATGGCCAGGTAAAATATCCCTTGGAATGAAGCCCCAGCTGCACATTCCCCACATTCCCACTTTTGTCTTACTTGTAAAGCTGGAGGAACTCTGGGTGTGGATTCACAGGGTCCAGGGGCCCATAGATGAGATGCACTGCAAGGGAAGCACAGACAGAGCTTTTATATTCATAAATTAATGGATTCATTAATTAGAACATCCCCAAGGAGACCTGCAGGGGTGTTCCCTCCTCACACAAAGCTTGGGAGGTTCCAGTGGAGCACTGAACAAAACAGCTCTGAATGGGCTTTTGCTGGGCTGCCCTGGGCTCAAGTCCAGCCCCCAACCCCCAAAATTTTCACTGGTTCAAACTTTTGGGGCTTGAAAAGCTCCTCAGCTTCCCTGGAGCAGCACTTGGAGGAGCAGCTGTGAACAGGGAATGTTGTCTCTGCTGCAAAACTGAGTTTGAGCTCAGGATAATGAGAGGCTGATGAGTGGAGGGAGCCTGGAAGTGAGTGGGACAATTCCCAAAAATGCCAAGCAGTGAAGGGATGGATTCCTACTCACATGGGCAAATTCCCAAAAATGCCAAGCAGTGAAGGGATGGATTCCTACTCACATGGGCAAATTCCCAAAAATGCCAAGCACTAAAGGAATGGATTCCTACTCATATGGGCAAATTCCCAAAAATGCCAAGCACTAAAGGAATGGATTCCTACTCACATGGGCAAATTCCCAAAAATGCCAAGCAGTGAAGGGATGGATTCCTACTCACATGGGACTGAGGTAGACATCAAAGCTCCAACCCAGCGCTCTCTGTGCTTCTTCCTCTGGTTTATGTACTGCAAAATACTGAGGGAGGGAGGGAGGGAGGAAGGAAGGAAGTGGCGGAAGGAAAGGAAAAGAAAAGAAAAGAAAAAAGAAAAGAAAAAAGAGAAAGAGAGCCCTGGTTATGCTGCCCAGCCTGGAATTCACTCCTGGGGCCATGGGCACAATGAGATCCAGGTGGGATCTGCATCTCCTGTGGGAATCCAGCCCCACACCATCATCCCCAGGCTCAGGGACTCTGTTCTCCCACTGGGGAAGGGGAGACAAGGAGCTCAACTCAACCACCACCAACTCAAGCACAAGAGCCTTCTAAAAGCCACAAACTGCACAAAACATGTCCTTCCAAAATTGCCAAGGTGAAGATTTGGGATTGGGATTTCTGGGAATGGCCCAGAAGGTTCAAATCCAGAGGTAAATCTCTCCTGGGACAATGCTGCTCAAATATCTGCCAAATAGGGATTGAGCTCTAGTCATTACCAAAACTGCCCCAAATCCCAACCCTTGACTTCCAAAGGAAAAAATCCCCATCTCAGACCCAATTCCAACCTTCATTTCCCTGCCCTGCATCATCCTAGAGAAATTCTGCTCCAACATCACCCCCAGCTCTTTCTTGGGATGTAATGTTGATCTCCAACAAAAACAAACATCTCCAGCATTGATCTCCAACAATATTATCCCAATATTGATCTCCAAGCATCTCCAATATTGGACTCCAAGGGGTGTTTTCCAGCAGCAGCTGGAAGTTCTGGAGAGCTCTGGGCCCCTCGGGGCAGGTGTGACACGCAGCTCATTCAGGAGTTCGTGCCAGGTACCTGTCCATGACGAGGTTCCCGTCGTTGTTCCTCACCGCTGTCCACATGTCCCAGAGCTCTGCCTGGGAGGGCTGAGTGTAGGGCCCAAAAACTGCCCCAAGCCTGGAAAACAATGGGATTTAGAGAGACACAGCAGCAGCTGAGTCAGGGAACCACTCAGAAACTCCTCCAGGGCAAAAAAAATTCCAGCACTTCCGTTTCCACAGCAAAACTCCAAGTGCCAAGATGTCCCCCAGATAAGTAGGGATAAGTGTTGGATGGCCTGAAAGGGCTTTTTTGGGGGAAAATCTGATTGTGCAGGGGCTTTGTTGCCTCTGAAATGTGGAATTCCAGCACTTGTGGAGAGGAGGGTTCCAGTGTCCAGGGAAAAGTTTTTTGGTGTATTATTAAACTGAAGTGCTTGGCCAGTGTGGAGAGGGAATGGTCCAGATGTCAATCCCACCTCTGCAGGGTCAGTGCCAGGGAATCTGCTCCCTGCCAAATTCCTGATCTGTGGGATCATGGAACCATGGAATGGTTTGGGTTGGAAGGGATTTAAGGATCATTCACTGCTGCTCCCTGACAAATCCCGGATTTATGGAACCATGGAATGGTTTGGGTTGGAAAGGAATTTAAGGATCATTCACTGCTGCTCCCTGACAAATCCTGGATTTATGGAACCATGGAATGGTTTGGGTTGGAAAGGAATTTAAGGATCATTCACTGCTGCTCCCTGACAAATCCCTGATTTGTGGAAGCATGGAATGGTTTGGGTTGGAAGGGATTTAGGGATCATTCACTCTGACTTCCTGCCAAATTCCTGATTTATGGAATCATGGAATGGTTTGGTTTGGAAGGAATTTAAGGATCGTTCACTGCCACCCCCTGCCATGGCAGGGACACCTCCCACTGTCCCAGGGTGCTCCAACCTGGCCTTGGACACTTCCAGGGATGGTGCGGAGAGGGAATGGTCCAGATGTCAATCCCACCTCTCTCCAGAACCAGTGCCAGGGAATCTGCTCCCTGCCAAATCCCTGATTTATGGAACCATGGAATGGTTTGGATTGGAAAGGAATTTAAGGATCATCCACTGCCGCTCCCTGCCAAATCCTGGATTTATGGAACCATCGAATGGTTTGGGTTGGAAAGGAATTTAAGGATCATCCACTGCTGCTCCCTGCCAAATTCCTGATTTATGGAATCATGGAATGGTTTGGGTTGGAAGGAATTTAAGCATCATTCACTGCCACCCCCTGCCATGGGCAGAGACACCTCCCACTGTCCCAGGGTGCTCCAACCTGGCCTTGGACACTTCCAGGGATGGTGTGGAGAGGGAATGGTCCAGATGTCAATCCCACCTCTGCAGGGCCAGTTCCAGGGAATCTGCTCCCTACCAAATTCCTGATTTATGGGATCATGGAATGGTTTGGGTTGGAAGGGATTTAAGGATCATCCACTGCTGCTCCCTACCAAATTCCTGATTTATGGAACCATGGAATGGTTTGGGTTGGAAGGAATTTAAGGATCATTCACTGCTGCTCCCTGCCAAACCCCAGATTGATGGAATCATGGAATGGTTTGGGTTGGAAGGGATTTGAGGATTATTCACTGCCGCTCCCTGCCAAACCCCAGATTTGAGGAACCATGGAATGGTTTGGAAGGAATTTAAGGATCGTTCACTGCCACCCCCTGCCATGGTAGGGACACCTCCCACTGTCCCAGAGTGCTCCAGCCTGGCCTTGGACACTTCCAGGGATGCTGGGGCAGCCACAGCTGCTCTGGGAATTCTATTCCAGGGTGTCCCCACCCTTCCAGCCAGGAATTCCTTCTCATTCCTGCATTTCCCCTTCCCCACTCGGTTCACATGGTTATGGATGGTGCCCAGCACCCCCGAGACCCCACTCACCCTCCAGAGAAGAAGAAGAAGTTCATGAGCCGCAGGAGGAGGGGGGACAGCAAACCCCCATCCTTGAGGAGCTTGGGAAGAAGGGAAAAAGGAGAGAGCCCAACTCAGCATTGGAGACATGGAAAAATCCATGGAAAACTCTTCCCATGAGGCCCAGACCCTTGAGGTGTCCATGGGGTGTGACAGCAGCGCTCCAAGGGGTGTTTGTTTGGGATTTTGGAATTCGGGGTGACTGGAGAGAGGAGCAGCTCACCAAGGGGTGTTTGTTTGGGATTTTGGGGTTCAGTGTGGCTGGAGAGGGGAGCAGCTCACCAAGGGGTGTTTGTTTGGGATTTTGGGGTTCAGTGTGGCTGGAGAGGGGAGCAGCTCACCAAGGGGTGTTTGTTTGGGATTTTGGGGTTCAGTGTGGCTGGGGAGGGGAACAGCTCACCAAGGGGTGTTTGTTTGGGATTTTGGGATTCGGGGTGACTGGAGGGGGGAGCAGCTCACCAAGGGGTGTTTGTTTGGGATTTTGGGATTCGGGGTGACTGGAGGGGGGAGCAGCTCACCTTCTGGATGAAACGGGGGTAGTTTGTTTCGGGAAAAATCCCTGGAAGGAGAGCAAAGTACAGAGCTGTACGGCTGGAAGGGTTTTCCTGCACATCTCCCAGGCTGTCCCCCTTCATGGTGCCATGCCAGGGAGCCCCAGGATTGATGCTCCTGCTTAATTACAGCACCTTGGTTGCAATCCTTGGGATTTGGGTGGTGGAGATGGGAAAGCCAATCCATCCCATGGGTTCTCATCCCATGGATTCCAATCCCATGGATCCCAATCCCATGGATTCCTATTCCATGGGTTCCCATCCTATGGATTCCCATCCCAAGGGTTCCTATCCTATGGATACCAATTGTATGGGTTCCTATCCAATGGATCCTCATCCCATGGATCCTCTTCCTATGGATCCTCTTCCCATGGATACCAATCCCATGGATTCCCATCCCTTGGATCCCGATCCCATGGATCCCAAGGGTTCCCATCCCATGAACCCCAATCCCATGGATCCCATCCCATGGATTCCCATCCCAAGGGTTCCCATCCCATGGGTTCCCATCCCATGAACCCCAATCCCATGGATCCCATCCCATGGATTCCCATCCCAAGGGTTCCCATCCCATGGGTTCCCATTCCATGGATTCCCATCCTATGGATCCCCATCCCATGGTTCCCATCCCATGGATCCCCATCCCATGGATCCTCTTCCTATGGATCCTCTTCCCATGGATCCCCATCCCATGAATACCAATCCCATGGGTTCCTATCTCTTGGATCCCAATCTCATGGGTTCCCTTCCATGGATCCCCATCCCATGGATCCCCATCCCATGGATCCCCATCCCATGGATTCCCATCCTATAGGTTCCCATCCCATGGATCCCCATCCCATGGGTTCCTTCCTATCTCATGGATCCCAATCTCATGGGTTCCCTTCCATGGGTCCCCATCCCATGGATCCCCATCCCATGGATTCCCATCCTATAGGTTCCCATCCCGTATATCCCCATCCCATGGGTTCCCATCCCATGGTTCCCATCCCATATATCCCCATCCCATGGTTTCCCATCCCACGGATCCCCATCCCACCCTGCACAAACCTCACCTCCGTTGGACAAACAGAGGCTGTTGATCAGGATGCTCCCAGTTCTGTTGTGCTCATACCTGGGGACAGCAGAGAAGAAGGTGAAACACAACCAAACCTCTCCAGGCTCCCAGAAATGCCCGAGCAGGAGCTCCAACTGTGTGGGACCATCTCCATTTCCTTTGGGAACTGGCTGAGACACCTCAGGCACAAGGAAAAGGGAATTCTGCACCACATCCTTCCACTTATCTGCTGGAAATCAACGTGGTGGGGACAGCAGAGGGCAGGAGGTGGGGCAGGACCTGTGGAGCAGCTCCTGGGCCACCGTGTCCCCGTAGTCGTGCGACAGGAGGTTGATGCGCTGGTGCCGCAGCCCGAGGTGGCGCAGCAGCCCCTCCACGATGGTGGCCTGCTCGAAGATGGAGTAGCCATGGGGCCTCTGCAAGAGGGGCACAGGGGTCCCAGTGAGAGCCTGGCCCAGCAGGAGCCCTCAGCCCACAGAAGAAATGCCCCAAGGGAGGAATGTGGAGATACGGAACCGCTTGTGAGCCCGGACCCACCGGTTGGGATGTCCTGGGATGTCCACAAGGCCATGGGAGCATTGTCCATGCTCCAGGGGATCAAGGTGCATTTGGAGTCCCATCAAACCCACCCACCACAAACCTTCCCTATCCCTTCCACTGCTGTAATGACTTTTCCCTTTTCCAGAGGGAATGGGAGGAGAAAAACCAGTTTTCCTCCTGGATGGCAAAAACTGTGACGGTGTTCACAGGAGTCCCAGGATGAGGGAAGAGACGAGGATCTGACTCCATGTTTCAGAAGGCTGATTTATTATTTTATGATATATATTATATTGAAACTATACTAAAAGAATAGAAGAAAGGATTCTTAGCTAGCTTGAAGGCTGGCTAAGGACAGAAAAAGAAAGAATGATAACAAAGGCTTGTGGCTTGGACAGTCTGAGGCAGCTGACTGTGATTGGCCATTAATTAGAAACAACCACATGAGACCAATCACAGATCCACCTGTTGCATTCCACAGCAGCAGATAATTATTTTTTACATTTTGTTCCTGAAGCCTCTCAGCTTCTCAGGAGGAAAAATCTTAAAGAAAAGATTTTTCATAAAAGATGTCTGTAACAAAGAAACAATGTTCCAGAGTGCTGGGCCGAAAGCAACCATGAAACTCCTCATGCCAGGGTACTCACAGGCTTGTCACTGAACCCAAATCCAAGGAAATCCAGGGCAATCACCCGGTGGAAGCGCTGGGTCAGCCCCTCCCAGATCTGGGAAGAGGAGAAATGCATCAAAAAAATCATCCAGTGGGAGCAGAGGATGGAAACACCTGCAGGGCGAGCAGCCATGGATGGACGTGCTCCTCCCCAGCACCCCAGAGAACATCCCAGCTCCAAGAAAACAGCAGCAGGGCAAAATTCCCCAATAAACAGCCCCACCATCCCCCAAAAAAGCCAAGGGATTGTTGTGGGTGTTTTCCTGGAATGTGGGGTGTGGAAAGAGCTTGGATTTCACACTGGGAGAGGAACAAGGTGAAATCCTGGAGCGCGGTGGTACCTCCAGCAGAAATCAGGAGTTCTCCTCTGGAGCACGGCCCACCCCTGCTGTGCTGCCTGCTCAGGCCCAGGAGCTGTAAACCCTGGGATTTGGGTCAGATCCCAGCCCTGACCTTGCTCCAGTCGTAGCTGGACGTTGGGAAGCCGTGCAGGAGCACCACGACGTCCGAGCTGCCGACGGCGCCGCTGGAATCTGTGGGGACAACGGGACACCCTGGGGTCAGCCCTTCCCAAAATTCCTCCTTTCTAGGATGGGAACTGAGTCCATCCCACTGGGAATCCACCTCTCCCTCTGCTCCCCAAAACCCAGGATGGGTTTGAGTCCCACCACAGCTTCCCTTCGGAAACCTCACCAGCTCCATGATCAACCCAGGGACTGATTTCAAATCTATGGATTTTTAATTGATAAAAAGATTTAATTAGCCCTAATTAACTCCAGCAGCCTCTGTGCTGCTGCAAAAAGGGTTTCCAGTGTCTTTTCCATGCTGCAAAAAGGGTTTCCAGTGTCTTCTCCATGTTGTGTCCCAGTGATCTCCACAGGAAGGAAAGAACCGAGCCCCAGAGTTGCAGGGGCAGCCAGCAGAGGCCAAGGCCAGCCAGACTTGATGGTACTGACAGATTTTGCCTGGGAGCAACCCTTGGATGTTCAGAATTTTGGAGGTGGAATCCCAATTTCAGCCGTGGACACCCAGAGGAGAAGGACGGATCCATCTTGGGATCCTTCCCACCAAGATACAAGATCCAGCTTTCCCCAGTGAAACGTTCTGGTCCATCCCCAGGATCCAGGATGGCAAAAACCAGGAGGGATTTGTCACCACCTGGCCCAGGTTTGGAATGTCCCCATGGGATGGGTGGCTGTGTCACCTCTGTAGAAGATGTTCAGGTCCTTGTAGGTGAAGAAGCTCCCGGAGGATTTCCAGGAGCGCAGCGCTGGGGACAGCTGGGGGGGCGGGATGTGCAGGTACACGGCGAGGAGGGGCACGCCCAGCAGCCCCACCTGCAGCCACCACTCCTTCATCCTGGGGGACACGGGGACACCGGGGTCACCCCGGGGCTGTGCGCTCCCACTGAGATCCCCAGGTCCCCAGAAACCACCCCCATGGCCCCAGAACTCCTTAATTCCTATAACCCACCCCCATGGCCCCAGAACTCCTAAATTCCTATAACCCACCCCCATGGCCCAGAACTCCTAAATTCCTATAACCCACCTCCATGGCCCCAAAACTCCTAAATTCCTATAACCCACCCCCATGGCCCCAGAACTCCTTAATTCCTATAACCCACCCCCATGGCCCCAGAACTCCTAAATTCCCATAACCCACCCCCATGGCCCCAGAACTCCTAAGTTCCTATAACCCACCTCCATGGCCCCAAAACTCCTTAATTCTTATAACCCACCCCCATGGCCCCAAAACTCCTAAATTCCTATAACCCACCCCCATGGCCCCAGAACTCCTAAATTCCTATAACCCACCCCCATGGCCCCAAAACTCCTAAATTCCTATAACCCACCTCCATGGCTCCAAAACTCCTAAATTCCTATAACCCACCTCCATGGCCCCAAAACTCCTAAATTCCTATAACCCACCCCCATGGCCCCAGAACTCCTAAATTCCTATAACCCACCTCCATGGCCCCAAAACTCCTCCATTCCCATAAACCTCCTTGGCCCCAAAACTCCCTCATTCCATAAACCTGTATGGCCCCAAAACTTCTCCATTCCCGTAAACCTCCATGGCCCCAAAACTTCCCCATTCCCATAAACCTCCATGGCCCCAAAACTTCCCCATTCCTATAACCTGCACATCCCCAGGGTGGCAGATCCAGCCGATGTTTGGGGTCTGAGAGGGAAGGTCAATCCCATTTGGGGTCTGAGGGGGACTGTGGGGCCATTTGGGGTTTGAGGGGGAACATGGGGTCATTGGGAGGCTGTGGATGCATAAGGGGTCTGAAGGGGGGGTGGGGATTCATGGGGTTCTGAGAAGGGGCATGACCCCACTAAGAGTCCACGGGGGCCATGGGGTCACTGGGGGGGCTTCAGTGGGGCCATGGGGGTGGTCAGGAGCTTATTGGGGTCTTGGGGGTTGTGACCCCAACAGGGTTCGGGGAATCAATGGCGGTGAAAGGGAGGAGACACGCCCACTGAGGAGACACACCCACCTAAGGGGACACACCCATTGAGGGGACACGCCCATCTGAGGGGACACACCCACTGAGGGGACACACCCACCTGAGGGGACACCCACCTGAGGGGACACGCCCACTGAGGGGACACACCCACCTGAGGGCACACACCCACCTGAGGGCACACACCCACCTGAGGGGACACGCCCACTGAGGGAACACACCCACTGAGGGGACACACCCACCTCAGGGGACACACCCACTATGGGGACACCCACCTGAGGGGACACCCACCTGAGGGGACACACCCACCTGAGGGGACACACCCACTAAGGGAACACGCCCACTGAGGGGACACACCCACCTGAGGGGACACACCCACTATGAGGACACCCCTCGAGGCCACATCCCCAACTGACCCCGCCCACACACCAAGCCCGGGACCCCCATCCCCCCTCAGGCCACGCCCCCACCCTGAGCGCGAGACGGGGGGGCGGAACCTCCGCGCGCGCTCCCGGTGGGGGGCGTGGCCGCGGCCGCGCGCGCGCCGCTCTCACCTGCGCTCAGGTGCTGCCGCGGCCGCGCGCCGCCATCGCGCTGTCCCGGCGGGGCGTGGCCTCCGCCCCGCGCATGCGCAGCTCCCCCCTTTGCCGCTTCCCGCCCGCCGCGTCCCTCCCGTTGCCGGGCGACGCGCGCGCTCCCCGCCGCGCGGCCTCTGATTGGCTGCGGGCGCGGCGCGCGGCCAATGGCGGCGGGCGTAGTTGAGGGGTGGGCGGGAGGCGGGAGCGCGGCCGAGCGTGAGGGACGGGCGGAGCGGGCCGGTGGCCGTGAGGGGCGATGTCGGCTCGGGGCGGCTTCGGAGACCCCCAGGTGCCGGGAGGGGCCTCCTCTTCTCCACAGCCTCAGGGCGGCGGGGGAAACACGGGGCAGGGCCGGGGAGATGGTTCGGGCAGCGCCCGCAGCCGGGAGAGCTCCGCGCGGAGAGCAAACGGCAGAAATTCTCCTTTGGAGCCTTTAAACCAGCGGCGTTTGTACCCACATGGGGATTCTGGAATTCCTCACTCGTTTTCCTGTCTCCTAAACCCCTTCAAATCGCGTTTTATGCTCGTTTTTCTCCTTTTTTTAAATTTCATTTTTTTAATTTTGGCTTCTCGTCTTTTCCATTTTGAAACAGTTTCTAACCCGGCGCATCCCCCCGAATCCCAAATATCAACATATAAAAACTCGTCTGGATACTGGTAAGTGAAATTGCTGTGGGGTAAAACCACCCAAAACTGGTGTATCATGAGAGGAAAAATATAATTAATGTGTTAATTACCTCTGCCCGGAGCTAATTTATCTCAGCCCTGGAGAATCCTTATTGTGGTTATGATTTGTCTCACCAAATATTATAAAAATTATAGAAATTTTCTATTTATAATGATAAAAATTATAAAAAATTATTATTTACAATCTCCTTCAAATCTGAAATTTAAACAAGCACTAATTATACAGATTTATATTTATATATTATTTTAATGTATTTATGTATATTTATCTTCACACACCACCTTGCACCCCCCTGAAAATTGAGATTAAATGCTCTGTGTGTAGTTGGCAACATGTTTAAAGTCTTTATTATCTCAAAGCTTGTTTATTTTTTTTCTCCTCTTCTTTTAAAAGAAGAATTTGGGGTTAAATAGGTTTAAACTGGGTCAGGCTCCGTTGTGGGGGTTCCCATAGGAATTATTGATGTTGGAATTTCTGTCCATGGAATTTTCCTGTATCTTTTCAAGGGTGTGAGCCAAGATCATTATTTGGGGGTGTCTTTGTGGGTGTTTTTTGTTGTTAGAGCACCTGAATTTTATCTTGTAGCATCCTCACCAAAATGTTGGGAAAGGAGCAGCAAATCCTTGGATTTTTCTCTTTATTTCTACTGTCCTTGAGAGAAAAGAGGGAAATTGGGGCATTTTTCTACCTTTTATTGCCCTGTGAAAGAGGATCTACAACAAACAGCTGTTCCCTTCAAAGCAATTAAAATTTAAGCCTCTATGGGCCTGAAGAAAACCTCTAATAAATAAATAATTGTAATAAATTGATTTTTTTTTTTTTTTGGTTACAGGAAATAGTTTGTCGAAATACATGGAAAAATTGGAAGAGATCAAAAGAAGTGAGTACCTGGGGAGGAGCAGGATGGGCTAAAAATGGCTTGGTTCAAAACTCAAAGGGCAGGAGATGAATTCCAGGAGGTTTTCCTTGGAAATCTCCACAGATTTCATTTAAAAATCCAAGCAGGAATCATCCAGATCCTTCTTTGTTATTGGATTTTGTTATTGGAAGCTCTCTGAGCTAAGAAATCCGGGCTGGACTGATTTGGGAAGATTTATGGATCATTTCTGGGACTTTTATTTCACTTTTAGGTCACAACTTGAGCTCTTTTATCTTTATATAATTTAAATTCCTGTCGAAATACTCCAAAAAAGATAAAACCCAAGCTCTTTCCTTGTGTTCCCATTACTAAACATGGGCATTTTGAAGACTTTATGTTGTTCAGACTAATCAAGACCTAAATTATCTTTATTTCTCTCTTTTCCCACCAAACCCAGGCTTTCCAAATGATTTTTCACAATAAAACCAATGATTTATGACTTCATTCCAAAATAATTTTCACACAAGGAGTCAGGAAAGCTCTTCAACCTCAAAGCTGCATTTATGGAGGTGAAAAAAGCCCTGAATTGAGCTGGAAGCTCCATGAATTGGGATTTGAGCCGTTCAGGTTGAGTTCCCAGCCCCACTTTCTGAGGGGATTTATTTGGTGCTATCAGAACAGCCCTTTGTCCGCGCCTTGTTTGTTGGCTTTGGCTTGGTTTTTTCCAAACACTGCAGGTCTTTTGGGGGGGGGAAAAAATGAAAAGAGGAATGACCTTGAGCTTTCCAGAATGCTCTGTTGACTGAGATTTCAGTGCTGGACACTGCCTGGCTTTTTATTCCTGCTGAAAAATCTCGTTTTTTGTGCCTTCCCAATCTCGGCGCGGATCTGTTCCGCGCGCTTCTTTTATTCCCTCCTCTCCCTTTTTTTTTGGAGGGGCTTTCTCACTCTGTGCGGGCTGAATGGCCACCTTGTGTTGCCAGGGAGTGGAGGGTTCTCCCCCTGGGTTTCTCAGGGATAGATGACACCCTTTGGATGCAGATTGAAATCCCCAGCACAGGCTCCTCTCTGTCCCCCGTGTAACCCGAGCGATCCCTGTCCGCGCCGTCAAAAATTCAGCAGCTGCACCCACCGACCGTCCATCCTTGGGAGGGCTCACTGCCTTGAGGACTCGCGCAGGAGGTCTCTCCCTTCTCCCTGCTCTCGTTCCCCTCCTCTCCAAAGCCCTGAGGAGCCAATTCCCTGGAAAACAGAATCACCCCAGGCAAAGCCATGTCAGAAAATCCCAACGGATCCGCCAGGACCGGACCGGGTACGTGGGGCTGCTCCTGGAGCTGCAGGCAGCGCTCCTGGGCTCTCTGGGAAGGTGTTTTGGGTGAAAAGGGCAAGATCTAGCAAGAAAAAGGCAAAATCTAGGGGGGGAAAGTCTTTTTGGGGGTAAAAAGGCTTTTTTGGGGTGGAAAGTCCTTGTTTGAGGAGGATAGGATCCATGCACGACTGGACTGGGTACATGGGGCTGCTCTTGCAAGCAGCACTCCTGAGCTCTCTGGGAAGGTGTTTCGGGTGAAAAAGGCAAGATCTGGGGAAAAAAAAAAGGCTTATTTTGGGATAAAAAGGCCTTTTTGGGGTGAAAAGTCCTTGTTTGAGGAGGAGAGCAGTCATGCGGGAGCTGCATCCTTGTGTGAGCTGGGAAGGAGCTGAGCAGGACCAGACTGCATCCATGGGGCTGCTCTTGGAGCTGCACTCCTGAACTCTCTGGGAAGACATTTTGGGTGAAAAAGACGAGATTTAGGGCAAAAAAGAGGCTTTTTTTGGGGTAAAAATTCCTTGTTTGAGGTGGGAAGGAGCCGTGCAGGACAGGACCAGACCTTGGAGCTGCAAGCAGCACTCCTGAGCTCTCTGAGAAGGTGTTTTGGGTGAAAAGGACAAGATCTAGCAAGAAAAAGGCAAGATCTAGGAAAAAAAGAGGCTTTTTTTGGGTAAAAAGGCTTTTTTGGGGTGAAAAGCCCTTGTTTGAGGTGGGAAGGAGCCATGCAGACTGGGTCTGTGGGGTTGCTCTTGGAGCTGCAAGCAGCACTTCTGGGCTCTCTGGGAAGGTGTTTTGGGTGAAAAGGGCAAGATCTAGGGCAAAAAAGGCTTTTTGGGAGTAAAAAGGCTTTTTTGGGGTGAAAATTCCTTGTTTGAGGAGGATGGGAGCCGTGCAGGAGCTGCATCGTTGTGTGAGCTGGGAAGGAGCCGAGCAGGACCAGACCAGGTACAAGGGGCTGCTCCTGGAGCTGCACTCCTGAGCTCTCTGGGAAGGCATTTTGGGTGAAAAAGGAAAGATCTAGGGGAAAAAAAGGGAAGATCTAGGGAAAAAAAGGCTTTTGGGGGGTAAAAATTCCTTGTTTGAGGTGGGAAGGAGCCGTGCAGGACAGGACCAGACCTTGGAGCTGCAAGCAGCACTCCTGAGCTCTCTGGGAAGGTGTTTCGGGTGAAAAAGGCAAGATCTGGGAAAAAAAAAAAGGCTTATTTTGGGATAAAAAGGCTTTTTTTGGGTAAAAAGGCTTTTTTGGGGTGAAAAGCCCTTGTTTGAGGTGGGAAGGAGCCATGCAGGACTGGGTCTGTGGGGTTGCTCTTGGAGCTGCAAGCAGCACTTCTGGGCTCTCTGGGAAAGTGTTTTGGGTGAAAAAGGCAAGATCTAGGGAATAAAAGGGCGGGCTTATTTTGGGATAAAAAGGCTTTTTGGGGGTAAAAAGGCTTTTTTGGGGTGAAAAGTCCTTGTTTGAGGTGGGAAGGAGCCATGCAGGACCGGGTACGTGGGGCTGCTCCTGGAGCTGCAGGCAGCACTCCTGGCCTCTCTGGGAAGGCATTTTGGGTGAAAAAGGCAAGATCTAGCAAAAAAAAAAAAGGCAATATCTCGGGAAAAAAGGGGTTTGGGGGGTAAAAATTCCTTGTTTGAGGAGGGAAGGAGCCGTGTGGGAGCTGCATCCTTGTTTGAGGTGGGAAGGAGCCATACAGGACAGGACCAGACCTTGGACCTGCAAGCAGCACTCCTGAGCTCTCTGAGAAAGTGTTTTGGGTGAAAAAGGCAAGATCTAGGGAATAAAAGGGCTTATTTTGGGATAAAAAGGCTTTTTTGGGGTGAAAATTCCTTGTTTAGGTGGGAAGGAGCAATGCAGGATCAGACTGGGTACGTGGGGCTGCTCTTGGAGCTGCAAGCAGCACTCCTGAGCTCTCTGGGAAGGGATTTTGGGAGAAAAAGGCAAGATCTAGGGGAAAAAAGGCTTTTTGGGGGTAAAAAGGCTTTTTTTGGAGTAAAAAGTCCTTGTTTGTGGTGGGAAAGAGCCATGCAGGAGCTGCATCGTTTGGCAGCGGTTCTGCCTCGTTTTTATCCATCCAGCACTTCCCAAGCCTTGCTGCTTTTATTTTTTTTGTTTTTGCTGCTTTTATTTTTTATTTTTTGCTGCGTGTATTTTTTATTTTTTGCTGCTTGTATTTTTTG